TGTCATAGTTGCACATCCTTCTAGTTGCTGTATGTGGGACACGGCCTCAGCATGGCCGGAGAAGCGGTACATCGGTGCGCGCCCGGGATCCGAACCCGGGCCGCCAGCAGCGGAGCGCGCGCACTTAACCGCTAAGCCACGGGGCCGGCCCAAGATTCACTATTTAGAACGAGAAGAGATTTTAGAAACTTTGTGCTATAATTTTACAGGTGAGGAAACAAAATCCTAGAGAGGCAAGTTGACTTATCTGCCCAAGGTCACAAAGACAGCTGATGGCAAGTGTATGTGGCAGCAGGGAAGTTCATGTGTGGAAGCCGCTATGCTCTCCTGGGAAATCCAATGAGGTCGAATCACAGGAGCATCTCAGTTATATGAATGGCTGAGCAGAAAATCAAAAGAAGTATTTCTCCAAATATAAGAATAAGGCGATACACCCATAGAGTCAGCTTAAAACTTACAAGCTGAGGGTTCTAAGCCACTGGCAGTAACCAGGGAAAGAGATCAGGAGAGCCATTCCCTCTACTTCCAGAATCTTAGTCTAGGAGGTAGTAGAAGGAGTTAATCAAGTATGCACCAATAAAGAAACTCCCAGAGAGCAAACCAGGCCCTCGTGCTCACTGCATTTGGAACACTCCGTGTGGTTCCAGTCGCACTTCCTCTGGAAAGACACAGCAGAGCTCAGAGAGAGACCAAGAAGGCAAAAAAACCCATCAGGAACGTGCATATGACAACACACAAGGAAGGTTAGAACTTGTGATCTGCTGCAAAGAGAAAGGACCAGGAAAGGTTGTGCTGGATACCCACAAAAAGTCAGGAAGAGCACTGGCTGCGGAGTAAAAGAACTAGACCATGGAAGGGTCAGGAGACTTGGATTGTAGACCGAGGACCACCACTCATTTGTTGTATGACCACGGCGCATCACTTCCCTTCTAGGCCTCATTCTTATCATAAAGAGAGTTAGCCTAATTAGAACTGCGAAGTGGGTTCATTTTACATGCCAAGTCAGAGAGTGACTGCAGGCAGTGCTGTTTAAAGGATTCTGAGTCTATGGGAAAGTGGCCTGACGGTTTAGAAACGCTGGCCAGTGATGAGGGCCCCTTCAGCCATGTCTGCCACAGGGGAGGGATGGAGGGAAGAGTGGGAAGCATATATATGCTAGCCTTGGCCTAGATGATATGTGGGGTTGCCTCCTCCTTTCAAAATTCTATGACTATGGGGGCTGGCCCTGTGGCTTGGTGGTTAAGTGCGCGCGCTGCGATGCTGGTGGCCCGGGTTCGGATCCCGGGTGCGCATCGAGGCACCACTTCTCCGTTCATCCTGAGGCCAAGTCCCACATACAGCAACTAGAGGGATGTGCAGCTACGACATACAACTGCCCACTGGGGCTTTGGGGGGAAAAAATAAATAAATAAAATCTTTAAAAAAAAAAAAAAAAAAAAAATTCTATGACTATGTAGAACTGTACATGTAAAAATGGTTAAGATGGTAAATTTGAACTTGAAACTGAAAAGATAACTAGGACCATTTAGAAGAAAGAAGTAAACATATGGAATATATTATCCAACAAGTGTCACAGGCAGAAAATTAAAACCCAACAGGACTGCTGCTATGATAACACCTACTCAAGTATGGAATTAAGAGTAAGTTGAGTCACTCTCCAAACTTCTACCACACAGCTGCACGGTACCCACGCCAACAAAAAGCGCACAAACCTCCATGGCTAACACAGGTCTCCAGGACTTGCTCTGTGCTAAGCTTTCTGCATGTATATCATCCAAGCCCCACAAAAGCCCTCTAAGGCAAGTGCTGCTGACACCCCGGGTCAGAGGGGAATCTGAGGGAGCCTCAGCGAAGTCTGCGGTTCAACATTACCCACCTAAAAAAAATGGCAGAGCCAGGACTGAAAGCCAACTCTATTTTGACTGCAAAGCTCTTGCTCTGAACAACCGTGCACCACTGCCTGCTGTACGGGTCATAATATTAAGGCTACCGCCTCTTCCTCACGACCTGTCTACTCTCCCAGCCCCTTGTAACTTCTGACGGTGACAGTCAGCAGCGTCTGGATTAAAATACACTTTCCCCCACACTGTTTCCAGGGTATAGTTTTGCCTCCTCACCTCGATGGGCTCCTGAGGATAGGGATGGCCACAGGCCTGGGCCTTCATCCATCGGTGCCTTTTTTTTTTGTGGAAGATCAGCCCTGAGCTAACATCCATGCCAATCCTCCTCCTTTTGCTGAGGAAGACTGGCTCTGAGCTAACATCTATTGCCAATCCTCCTCCTTTTTCTCCCCAAAGCCCCAGAAGATAGTTGTATGTCATAGTTGCACATCCTTATAGTTGCTCTTATGTGGGACGCCGCCTCAGCATGGCTGGAGAAGAGGTGCGTCGGTGCGTGCCTGGGATCCGAACCCAGGCCGCCAGTAGCGGAGCGCGCACACTTAAGCGCTAAGCCACGGGGCCGGGCCCAGTCGGTGCCTTTTAAAACACCTATAAATGGGGGTACAGCAGCTACCGCATATGAATGTGAGGAGGATCCAATGAGCACTGAGAATGGAGCCTGGATGCTATTGTCACCTGGCACCTTACACATTACTCAGACTTCAGCGATGGGGCTGTTCAGGTCCTACCTCCTTTGCCACCTACAATCTGTGTCCTCTTGGGCAAAAGAGTGACCTTCTCTGGGTCTCTGTTTCTTCATCTCCAGAAACCAAATTGGGAACAATCCTTACCCAGTCTACCTCATAAAGGTGCTGTGACGATGAGATGGATGAGAAAACACTCTGGAAACTGCAAAGGGGTATATCAGGGTGTCTCAACCTTTGTGAGAAGGCACTCACATAGTCAATGGCACTATTGACATTGGAGGCTACAGAAGTCTTTGTCATGGGAGCCGTCCTGTGCCACGTGTCATGCGATATTTAGCAACATCCCTGCCCTCTCCCCACTAGACACCAGTAACACCTCTCCCCATCCCACCTCTAGCCGTTAACAACCAAAAATGTCTCCAGACACTGCCAATGGCCCTGGTGGGCAAAATCGCCCCTGGTTGAGAATTACCAGATTATGGTAAACTCAAACATCAGTTGACTCCTTTTGTAAGCAGCAGTGAGAAATGCTCTGGCTATACCCCAAACCTCTGCAAACTCATGGCTACTGTGAACCGAGGGCTCTCTACGTCCTGGGCACTGAGCAACGAGTTCCTCCCAATGGCCCGGGGTCCCGTGCTCACTCTCAACCCGGCCTGGGGAGGCCCTGCTCTGGCTCCAGCTGGCACTCCCTCGCCACCCTGTCCCAGTCCCTAGCAGGAGGTGTTTTCTGCATCCTACCATCCTCACGTGCACAAGACTCACTCCTACCTAACCCATTTAATTATTTCTGTACAGATGGATATTAAGTGCTTTAAAATAGTTCATCCGCCAACTCTCACATCCCCAGTCTGGTCGACACCACTAATTAATATGGAAAAAGCTTTATTCACAGATAATGTAAAGATAAACTTTAGCCTCATCTGATCTTCTTACTAGTTTATTAAGGAAGTTTTATATGGTTTTATGTATTTCCCTTTGAATCAATATATACAGTGCTTGAGGAGGAAGGAATGTTTTAAACTATCACACACACCACCATCTATCTTGACGGCGGGGTGGGAGTGCTCCTGGAGTCTGCATAGACAAAGGGAAGGAGTGAGGTGGGGAGGCAGCTCTCCACTCAGCCTGGCGAAAAGAAGGCTGAAGACTGTCCAAATGCAACCAGAAACTGCTTTGCAAATGGTATAAATAAAAGCTCCATCTCTCTAGCTCAGTCTCCCTGAGAACAGGTTACGGCTGTGTAGAGACACTGACTCTCTCAGGCCTTCGAGTGGACATGTGGGTCATGGGACCAGTGGCTGAGGGACTCCAGTGTCCTTCCTATGCAAATCTTGTGCTACATAAACTATGAAATGGAAAAAAAGTTGGGAAGCACATCCCCAAAAGCACCAAAATGTCAAAGTGATCTTTTTTTGTTGGTGCTTTTCTGGTATTTTCTACAACAAATAAGGGTTATTTTTACACCAATTAACAAATCAATATTATTTTTACACTTACTTGCTGTAAACTTTGGGAACAGAGTAATCTTAATCTCTCTGTGCCTCAGTTTCCTTGTTTGTAAAACAGGAATAGTATCTACTCCAAGGGCTCACGCTAAGCACTCAATGTTAGTGATTATTATTTTTAAAATGATATTTAAAAAATTATAAGTGCCAGGGAGAAGAACACTGAGAAGCCAACCAATACTTAGCTAATCGCCCCCTGGGGACCAGGAAGGATGGTGAGACAGGAAAAAACCTTTCAGGAGAGGAAGACTAGTTTTGATGCCAGGGAAGAACTCTGAAGAGGAAAAAGTGAGGAGGAGAAGTTGCTTGATTTATGACACTGTTATCTGGGCTCACCTTTAAAGGGCAGTTCATCTCAACAAGTAATAAAACACGCAAAAATCATCAAGAAATCAGAGGTCACTGACGGGCCTCATCTCCATTCCCTCAGATGTTCTCCAGTGGCCACTGAGATCCAGTGAGTGAGGAACCTGACTCCAGGGGAGCATCAAGGAACCATCTGGACTCTGCAGCCACCTCTGCAGAGATCCCAGCACAAAGCATTCGCTGGGAAGCTCTGCTCGAGCCCTTACCTTGAAGGAGAAAGTAATCCGAGGTCGTGCGCTTCAGAGCTGCCTTGGCTTGATCGCTGCTCCAGTCCACTTCCAGTGCCTCTTTAACAGAGCAGAAGACCACCTTCTGTGGAAAAAAGGCAAACCCGCTTAGGGATAAAATACGTCGCCCTTAAATCACAAGGCAGCCGCTCTTCACCATCTCCGAGGAATGTCATTAAGGTTTACTGTTCATTAAAAGAAGCTGAGGCCCACTCAAATCCAATAAACCTTTACTGAGCACTTACTGTGTGCTCCCCTGGGCTCTGGGGACCCCGCGCTGAACGACATGTACCCCCTGCACTGAAAGAAGACGGAGAGCAAAGCTCTAACGACTTAGTTCCACTCTGGTTCTTTCTTTTACTCTGGCTGTGTTTACAGTGCAGACACCAGCACAAGTGAGTAAGAATGTGTGTCTAAAGACATTCAATAAAACATTCTCTGTAACAGTAAACGAAAACAAACAAAAATTAAATGTTTTTCAGTAAAGGAATGGTTTGATGACAATGAGGGATGACAATACTAATAAATAACAGCACGAAAAACAATAAGCAAGGGGGATGGGCCGAAGGCTCCAGGCTATGGAAATGGAAACTGCATTTGTAAAAACCCTGTGGTAGGAGGAAGTATGGCTGGAAACTACTAAGCTAAATCAAATTATCTTGAAAAGTGTTGTGACATATTTATATTTTAAAATACAAAGAATTAAATATGAATAAGAAAATGGTTTTCGTTTCCCTTTCCTGAACAATTCAGTCCAAAAGCCATGTGTTGGGACTAGGGAAAAGCAGGGAAAGTGTGTGTGTGTGCGTGTGTGCGTGTGTGTTAAGTTCGCACGCTCTGCTTCGGCAGCCTAGGGTTCGCTGGTTTGGATCCTGGGCAAGGACCAACGCACCGTTCATCAAGCCACGCTGAGGCGGCGTCCCACATAGAAGAGCTACGACTCTACAACTATGATATACAACTATGTACTGGGGCTTTGGGGAGAAAAAAGAAAAAAGAGGAAGATTGGCAACAGATGTTAACACAGGGCCAATCTTCCTCAAAAAAAAAAAAAAGGAGAGGGAAATATGGAAAGAGACTCAACGGATGAATGAGTAAAGAAAATGTAACTCTCTCTCTCTCTCACACACACACAGGAATACTACTTAGCCATAAATAAGATGAAATCTTGCCATTTGCAACAATATGGATGGACCCTGAGAGTATTACGCTAAGTGAAATAAGTCAGATGGAGAAAGAAGAAAGCCCAATAGCCAAATACCATATGATTTCACTTATGTGCGGAACATAAAAACAACAACAACAAACACATAGATATAGAGATCAGACTGGTGGTTACCAGAGGGGAAGTGGGGAGAAGAAGGGCGAAAGGGGTGACAGGGCACATATGTAAGGTGATGGATGGTAATTAGTCTTTGGGTGGTGAACATGATGTAGCTGACACAGAAACTGAAATATAATGATATACACCTGAAATTTATATACTGTTATAAACTAATGTTACCTCAAAGAAAAAAAAAGAAACATGGAAAGGGAGAAAACTAGAATGAAGCCTGTGGTGAGAGTTATTGGTGTGAACTCATTTCCAATATATACAGACAAATAAGTAAGTGTAGACGGAAGTGTGTGTACACATACAAATATTAACTAGCTATGTCCACTGAGAGGGTCTAAAATACTCTGGAAGCCATGAGCACACCTACCACCAAGATCTTGGTTTCTAACATCCATCCCCCACAAAGAGTACGGGGCAGGGAGAGTAGGCGAGGAGCCTGAAACATCTTACTGTGCCTGAAACAAGGAAGTGCTCAAAGAACGATGGGGACATGTCACGAGGAAAACAGGAGCCAGCTTAAAGGAGCTCCCCCAGTCAAATCTAGAACAATCTAAGGATAAAAATAAATAATAATAGATTACAACACTTTAAATAAACTAGAATCCATTAGTCCATAGACCTAAAATTAACTAATTAATAAGGTTTGATGAGGCACAGGATATTTACATATTTTCAAAATACCTCTCCACAAAATACGTATTAGTCACACAAGGAAAAGAGGAATTGTTTTTAAAGGAGAAGTCTAGCAGACATAATCTTACCAAATGATCAAAGTTAACACTACCAGTAAAGGGGCATATGGAAACCACGCATCAGACCACAAGATGCGATAAGAAGCATCCATGCCATGACGTTTTTGCCAAAGATGCGTAGCTGGAATCTAATCACAAGGGAACATCAGACAGACCCAAATTAAGGGACATTTTACAAAACAGCTGTTTTGTAATCTTCCAAAGTGTCATGTAAATCTAGACGCACACATGATCCTTAACTGGATCCTTTTGCCATTAAGGACATGACTGGAACAACTGGGAAAATCTGAATGGGGTCTGAGGATTAGGCGGCAGTGTTGCATCCATGTGAATTTCCTGATCTTGCTGGTTGGTTTGTGATTAGACAGAATGGCTTGTTTGAGAAAATACAGTCTGAAATATTTGGGAGTGATGGATGGGGCATCATGTTGGCACCTTATTTTCAAATGGTTCAGAAAAAATGGTTCTCAATTCTAGCTACTTTTACTAAGTTTAAGATGGTGTGTGTGTGAGTGTATAAATAATTTCAAACTTACAGAGGTGTGTGTCTCTCTTCCTTTCTTCTCTCTCTACACACACGAACGCCACACAGACACACACAGCAGATATTTAAAAAAGAAAAGAGAAGAGCCTGCCTGGTGGTGCAAGTGGTTAAGTGCGTGCGCTCTGCTGCGGCGGCCCGGGGTTCACCGGTTTGGATCCCAGGCGCGCACCGATGCACTGCTTGGCAAGCCATGCTGTGGCGGTGTCCCATATAAAGTAGAGGAAGATAAGCATGGATGTTAGCCCAGGGCCAGTCTTCCTCACCAAAAAAAGAGGAGGATTGGCAGATGTTAGCACAGGGCCGATCTCCTCACGAAAAAAAAAAAGAGAGAGAGAGAAAGAAGATAGCAATGCTATAACGTAGGAGGCTAAGTGAACCAAGATCTACCAGCTACCAGCCAGTTTACACAGCTTGCTAAGGACCAAAATGGTTTGACAGATTCAAGTTCGAATTGCTAGTGAAGATACAACAGTCATGGCTTTTAAAGTGGCTTTCTGCCTCCCCACAATCACTCCTCTGGGGTTTGGATCCATTTGTAAAACTAGTATACAAGATGTTTGCACTGCCCTCAAACCTTTTGGTCAATGGGTTTGTTTGACCTCAAAAAATAAGTCATGTAGTCAGCCTGGTGACATTTAGTGCCTGGTACAGACTGCCAAACCCTTCTTTTTTTTTTTTTTTATGAGGGAGGTCAGCCCTGAACTAACATCCGTGCTAATCCTCCTCTTTTTTTTTGCTGAGGAAGACCGGCTCTGAGCTAATATCTATTGCCAATCCTCCTCCTTTTTTTTCCTTCCCCAAAGCCCCAGTAGATAGTTGTATGTCATAGTTGCACATCCTTCTAGTTGCTGTATGTGGGACACGGC